CCTTACCCCAGCCAGACCTGCTGGGGGGCACCCTGGGGGTGCTCATGGGCTCTCCCTGTTCCCAGATCCCTCCTGGAGCAGCTGAAGAAGCTCCAGGCGCTCGTGGTACAGTCAAGCAACAAGGCGGCACAGACGGGAACGTGCCTGGCGGTGCGTGGGGCTCCCAAACCCCCTGGGCTCCTGGGTGTGGGGACAGGGATCCATGGAGATGTGCTGGAAGGGGTGGGTGGATGGAGGGAGGGAGGGAGGAACGTGCTGAGGCAGAGGGAGAGATGCTCCAAGGTTGGATGAATGGAAGAAGGGATGGAGGAGTGCGAGGATAAATGGATGGATGGAGGCAGGGAAGGGCAGATGAAGGGATGGATGGAGCCAGGGATGGGTGGTGGGATGGAGGAACACAAGGATAGATGGATAGAGACATGGATGATGGATGGATGGAGACAGAGATAGATGGGGACAGGGACAGATGGAATGATGGCTGGATACATGGAGGCAGGGATGGGTGGAGACACTAGCAGGAGCATTTGGTCCAGGAGGCATGGATGCAATCCTGCTTCCAGCCCCTTCTGTGGAAGCTGTGTCCCCCTCCACCACTGTGACATCCCCTCTGTCCCCAGGTCCTGCTGCTCTCCTTCACCCTCATCGTCTTCCCCTCCATCAGCCCCTTCGCCCACAGCAAGGCCGAGGCACACGGCGACTTCAGGCCAGTGCGAGGTGAGGGCTGAGCTGGGCTGTGCCAGGGCTGGGCTAAGCTGTGCCAGGGCTATGTTGGGCTGTACTAGGCTGTGCCAGTGCTGAGCTGTGCTGTGCCGGGCTGTACCAGGGCGGGTGGACCCTGACCCTCCGCGGCGCTCAGTTTTCTCCAGGTCCCTGCACAACGCTGCCGCCTCCCGCGTGGCTTACACACAGCCCCAGGCAGGGGAGGAGAAGCCCCCGGAGCCCCTGTGGGCAGAGCACCTGAACGAAGCCCCTGAAACCCTGCACGAAGCTTTCAGTGGCCACACGTTGGCCTC